TAAATGTAAAAGTGGACTGTTTTCTAAATTTCACTGAAATTTTTCTTCACCGGAATATCATTTCCTCAAGGATTTTCCTGAAGTCTGTGTGGGTTTTTTGTTTTATTTTTTTTTAACTGCATGTCCCCATGAAAGACTTCAGTGTCAATTTTCAGAGTGTGACACAGAGTCAACTTCCTCATGACCATTTTCCCTCCTCCACTCAAACAAATAAAACCAAACCAATTGCTTTTTTTAAATTTAGAAAAACAAAAGAGTTTAAAACCAAAGCTTGTGTTTGTGATGACCCTCCAAGGGAATTCAGAGGGATTCATGTGCAAAATTTCCTGTGGACAAGACAAATTGTTTTCAGGAAAAAAACAAATTCTCATATCATGACCCAAGCATATGACTTCATGTGAATCCCTTGACCAGTCCACTCACTTTCTCCATCTGGAATTATCTGGCCAGAGACAGGCCATTTTCATAAAGTCTATTTTCAGGGATTTGGTACACTGCAGGCAGAGACGTCAAGGGAGGACAATTGATGACAGCTATCAAAATATAAAATGTGCCCTCTTTGGGACCCAGAGATTTCATTTCTGGAAATTTGATTTCAAATTTTCTTTTATTCATTGAAACAAAAATCTTAGAAACAGGCTGGGCACAGTGGCTTACACCTGTAATCCTAGCACTGTGGGAGACTGAGGCAGGTAGATTGCTTGAGCTCATGAGTTTGAGACCAGCCTGAGCAAAAGTAAGACCCCATCTCTACTAAAAATAGAAAAACTGGGGCAAGAGGATTGCTTGAGCCCCAATTGGAGGTTGCTGTGAGCTATGACAGCATAGTACTCTACCCAGGGTGACAGCTTGAGACACTGTCTCAAAAAAAAAATCAAGCAGCACCTGTAGCTCAGTGAGTAGGGCACTGGCCCCATATACCGAGGGTGGCAGGTTTGAACCTGGCCCCGGCCAAAATGCAACAAAAGAAGTCAGGTATTGTGGCGGGAGGCTGAGGCAAGAGAATCGCCTAAGCCCAAGAGCTGGAGGTTGCTGTGAGCTGTGACAGTACGGCACTCTACAGAGGGCGACAAAGTGAGACTGGTCTCTTAAAAAAAAAAAACCTTAGAAACGATCTGAATGACCATTCATAGGCAAAAGGCGTCAACAAGTCTCAAAGACATGTTATTCAAAGACATGTTATTGAACCAAAAGAGGAAAGGTTATCCTTACCTTTTCTGTTAAAAAAAAAAAAAAAGCTAGCTCATAAAACTACTTTAAAAAGACATATTACAAATCAAAAGTGAGAACTCAAAGCACCAAAAATAACAGAATTTGCTTCTGAGTTTGATACAAAGAACATTAGTATGTATATTTAAAACTTTGGTTCTTTCTAAGTACAGTGCCTCACACCCATGATCCCAGCATTTTGGGAGGCTGAACTGAGGAGGATCACTTGGGGCCTGGAGTTCAAGACCAGCCTGAGCAATATAGTGAGACCCAAAACATTTATAAAAAACAAAAACAAACATAACTCTGGGTCTTAACATTGTGACAATTGCTCAAAATTGTTGCATATCAGTACCATCAAGTCCAAGGTGGCTGTTTGGTTTTCTGGGAGTTTAAAATTGTCTTTCTCTTTTCTTGTCAACTGACTGACACCATGTTTATACATATGTGTAAACATCTTCAATATATCATGAAGAATAGCTAAGATCGGCTCAGCGCCTGTAGCTCAAGCGGCTAGGGCGCCAGCCACATACACGGGAGCTGGCAGGTTTGACTCCAGCCCAGGCCTGCCAAACAGAATGACAACTGCAACCAAAGAATAGCCGGGCGTTGTGGCGGGTGCTTGTAGTCCCAGCTATTTGGGAGGCTGAGGCAGGAGACTCCCTTGAGCGCAGGAGTTGGAGGTTGCTGTGAGCTGTGGTGCCACAGCACTCTACCCAGGGCGACAGCTTGAGACTCTGTTTCCAAAAAAAATAAAAGATCCATCTTACAAGGGTACATGTGAATCTTTCTAAAGGCAGAATATAAATGTCTTAACACAATAACTAAGAAAGCGCCATGAAGACTATATTAACCAGTTTGGTGAAAATATTTCAAATTATATATAAAACCAGCACACTGTGCCCCATGACTGCATTAATATACACAGCTATGATTTAATAATAAAAAAATTAAAATAAAATAAAATAATAGCCGAGATCTTAAGTGCATACCAAGACTGTCACCCCTCCTAGTGTTGACCCTTGGCACCCTCTTTCCACCCACATCATACTCTCCTTCCTACGGGCCTGGAGCAACAGCATTTGGGGCCAGGTCCCCTCCCCTGTGTCTCAGTTCTTTAGCCTGGCATCAGACAGACACCAGTCATGACCCAGCCCTCATGCCTTAACATTTATTAAGACTGAGCATATGCCGGGCATTCTATAGCTGGCTATGTTGTGTCCATTTTAAATTCTTTTAATTTTTAGTGGAGATTTTTTGTTTATTTGTTTGTTTGTTTGTTTGTTTGAGACAGAGTCATGAGTGGCATGATTTTAGCTCATTGCAACCTCTGACTTCAGGATTCAAGTGATCCTCCTGACTCAGCTAACCAGCTAGGACAACAGGTACACATTACCACACTGACTAATTTTTTTTGGTAGAAACAGAGTCTCACTTTAGCGCACTTGGTAGAGTGCTGTGGCATCACAGCTCACAGCAACCTCCAACTCCTGGGCTTAGGCGATTCTCTTGCCTCAGCCTCCAGAGTAGGCTGGACTGCAGGCGCCCACCACCACGCCCAGCTATTTTTTTGTTGCAGTTTGGCCGGGGCTGGGTTTGAACCCGTACCCTCAGTATAGGGGACCCAGTGCCCTACTCACAGGCTAAGTTTTTAAATTTTTTTGTAGAGACAGGGTCTCACTATGTTGTTCAGGCCAGTCTCAAATTCCTCACCACAAGCAATCCTCCCACCCTAGCCTCCCAAATGGCTAGGACTACAGGCATGAGCCACCTCAACCAGCTTTGTCTCCACTTTAGACAGGAGAAAACAGGGGTTCAAAGAGAGGAAGTCACTTGTCCAAAGGCACGAAGCTAGTAGGAGAGCCAGCCGTAGCTTAACTCCAGAGCCCTAAATTGTAACCCTGCGCCCACTCCGCCTGTGTTGCCCTCATTACCTAGCATGTCCTCCTCCTACCCTGCTCTGGGGGATTCTAGAAGGGGGGGGCTGGCCAACCTGAAGAAATAGCTGGTCGGGCACCAGCTGCAGCCCCCCAACCCTCCTTCCCCAACTAGCTGGGAAGGGTCCGGAATCAGGAATCACCGGGTAACTGCGAAGGCCAAAGGTCAGACTTGGGTTTCCTGCCCACCCCTGGGAACTTCCTCCTTCCCAACTCAACACCCGCCTCATTGAGCACCACCCTGAAGGACCCTTCCCCGATGCCAACAACCTCCCCACTCCATTACCTAATGAGAGGATAGGTCCCTGGGCCCCAGCCCTCACCCTACTGTGCCCCCACGGGCAGTGGACAGCAATTGTATTATTGTCACTCACTTGTCCAGGATCCAGCCTCCTTTCTAACTCCCTGACACTGTCACTCCCTTCAGCCAGCCCTAACCCCTTGGGACTAGGAGGGTCTGTGTCCCCTTCCAAGATGGGGAGCTGCTTATGGCCAGGCCTATGGCTGACACCTCCTGGGGGACACCCAGCATAGAGCAAACAAATGGGTGGCTCCAAGGAGGTTTCTCTGTACCTCCTGATTCAGGGATAAAGCATCCAAATCCCTTCCATGTCTGCCTGGGGGTGTCCCACTGAAACTGCACAAGAACCCCAGGTTTTGTTTTTGTTTTTGTTTTTTGTTTTTTGTTTTTTTGAGACAGAGCCCCAAGCTGTCCCCCTGGGTAGAGTGCTATGGCATCACAGCTCACAGCAACCTCCAACTCCTGGGCTCAAGCGAGTCTCCTGCCTCAGCCTCCCAAGTAGCTGGGACCACAGGTGCCCACCGCAACGCCCAGCTATTTTTTGGTTGCAGCCGTCATTGTTGTTTGGTGGGCCCAGGCTGGATTCGAACCCACCACCTTAGGTGTATGCCACTTGAGCCACAGGCGCCAAGCCTGACCCCCAGGGTTTTGAGTGTCAGGCAACAGAAAGTTCGCCTCTCAAACTATCTGACACTTTTCATTCACCATCTCACAGAGCCAGCAAATAGTGCTGACAGCAGGAAATGGCAATAATGATAACAACAGCCACAGTGTGACCCTGGCACCAGGCATAACCCATCCAACAGAGGGGGAAAGCAAGGCCCAGACAGGAGCGGCCCCTCCCCAGTACTCACTCAGGGTTCAGCTAGCTATTCCAGGGCCCGAGTTCTTTGCTCTTTATGCTGCTGTTTCTCAGGGGGTCACTTCAGGGATGATAGAGCTTGGGGAATCAGCACCAGCACCACTTACATAAGGCCCTCATGTGCAATTACTGATCACCTACTGTTTGTCCATCCCTGAGCTAAGGATTCCCCATTTTTTATCCCATTTAATCGGCAACTGCCCCCAGTGAAGCGAGCACATGTCTGTAGCCAGCCTTGCCTGCCTTGAGGTTAAATCTGACTCTAGGAACTAACAGCATGAGACCCCGGAATAGTACTTTTGCCTTCCTGTGTTTCAGTTTCCCCCTCCACATAAGGGTGACACCAACTGGCCTGGGCCCACTCAATGAGCCAATAAGCAGCAAGTGCTGAGAACAGCACTGGCACAGAGCAAAGGCAGCAAGTCCAGAGCAAGGCCGAGGGAGACTGCCCAACCAGCTGGTGCCCCACTGCCTGGTGACAGTCAGAGAGGGCCAGTCATGCCTTGGCCGCCCTGTCCTCTGACTTGTCCCTCACAGCCAGGGTGGGAGTGTTGTGATAACCCACAGCCCCCGTTTCCTCCTGGCCAGGAAGGAGCCAGGCAGAGGAAGTATTAAGAGAAGTAATATAAACACTGCCCCCTGTGCGGCGGGGCCCAGAGCGGGTCAGGCAGCTGAGCAAGCGGGGCCAGCACACCGGTCAGCCGGCCTTGGGAGCAGGGAGGTCTAGCCATGGATCGTGGAGGGGCCTATTCTCGGGCAGGCGGCAGCCCTCGGGGCTGCTGGTATTATCTGCGCTACTTTTTCCTCTTCGTGTCACTCATCCAATTCCTCATCATCCTGGGTCTCGTCCTCTTCATGGTCTATGGCAACGTGCACGTGAGCACCGAGTCCAACCTGCAAGCCACTGAGCGCCGGGCCGGGGACCTGTACAGTCAGGTGTTGGGGCTGATGGCCTCCCAGACCAACCTGTCCAAGGAGCTCAACCTCACTTCCCGCGCCAAGGATAGCATCATGCAGATGCTGCTGAGTGCCCGCCGTGACCTAGACCGCATCAATGCCAGCTTCCGCCAGTGCCAGAGTGAACGGGTAAGGCCGCCAGCCTGATACACATCTTGGGGACCCTGGCAAGTCACATCAGCTCTCACAGCCTCGGTTTTCTCATCTAGAAGACAAGGGCAGTCACACACCTGACATTCTATGTGAGGAGCCTATGTAGATAAGCCATGCACTTTTCTTTTCCGTATAACCGTATCCCATGCAAGACTTGGTGGGGTTTGTTTCTTTTAATTTTTCGGAAACATGGTTTCACACCCTATCTCCCGTTCAATACCAATGAATGGCATGATCACAGATCGCAGCAGCTTCCAACTCCTGTGCTCAGGCTCAAGTGATCCTCTTGCTTCAGCTTCCCAAGTAGCGGGGACTACAGGTCCATACTACTGTCCCCCACTAAGTTTGCTTATTTTTTGTAGAGACAGGGGTCTTGCTTTGTTGGCCAAACTGACCTCAAACTCCTGGTCTCAAGCAATCCTTCCTCCTTGGCCTCACTTCCACCCAGCCTGGCTCCATGTAATATTTGAGATATAATTCTTTTTTTTTTTAGAGACAGAGTCTTACTTTGTCACCCTCAGTAGAGTGCTGTGGTGTCACAGCTCACAGCAACCTCCAGTTCTTGGGCTTAGGCAATTCTCTTGCCTCAGCCTCCCAAGTAGCTGGGACTATAGGCGCCACAACACGCAGCTATTTGAGATATAATTCTAACTAAAAATATTATTCATTGTCATTCTGGAATTCAAATTTAACTAGGCATTGTATATATTAACAGGCAGCCCCAAACCCCTGACTTGACAGTCATGTGTCCAGGATGTGTAGCACATGCCAGCTGAAAATGAGAACAGGCTGAATAAAAAGCTCAGAGCATTTTGTTCTTACACAAGAATAACATGCATAAATGACTCAAATTCACCCTACACTGGGTGCTCACATTAAGAATATATTTTTTATTTTTTTGAGACAGAGTCTCACTATGTGGCCCTCAGTACTGTGCCATGGCCTCACAGCTCATAGCAACCTCAAATTCTTGGGCTTAAGCAATTCTCTTGCCTCAGCCTCCCAAGTAGCTGGGACTACAGGCACCTGCCACAACACCTAGCTATTTTTTGTTGCAGTTGTCATTGTTGTTTAGCTGGCCTGGGTTGGGTTCGAACCCACCACTCTTGGTGTATGTGGGGGGCACTGAGCTCACATTAGAAATATATATATATATATATTTTTTTTTTTTTAGAGGCAGAGTCTCACTTTATTGTCCCCAGTAGAGTGCTGTGGCATCACAGCTCACAGCAACCTCCAGCTCTTGGTCTTAGGCGATTCTCTTGCCTCAGCCTCCCAAGTAGCTGGGACTACAGGCTCCTGCCACAACGCCCAGCAATTTTTGTTGTTGTTGCAGTTTGGCCAGGGCCGCGTTTGAACCCACCACCCTCGATATGTGGGGCCGGCGCCCTACTCATTGAGCCACAGGTGCTGCCCTACATTAGAAATACCTTATCACCAAATCTTAGGAGGTAGAGAGAAGTTTGATACATTTTTGCAGACATGGTAATGGAGAACTGAGAGGGGAGGTGGTTTCCAGGACAGGGCAGGGACAATGGGCTCTCAAGACAGTCACATTTGTCCCCTGACACCCCCAGTTTGTGTCAAACATGCTCAACAGTTGCCTGGGTTCTCTCACCTCTGCTTCCCTCAGAAGGGTCCTGCTTGCCCCAAGACAGCCAAGGCCATGGGTATTGGGAGTGCAGGGGTGAAGGAAGGCTGAGGGAAGGCTGAGGGAGGCAGCCTCAGTGTGCCCTGCAGGAGGTGTCTTGTCTGGCTGGGGCCAGGGCTGGGGTAGGGGAAAAGGGAAGACCACCACCTGACCTTCCCTACTGGGCAGGAAGACGCACTCGGTCCCATTAGACCTGGCTGGGTCAACCCTGTCTCCACCTCCCAGAACCACAAGACAGGACACTGTTCCTCCAAACCCCCAGAGTAGGGTGGATGCCCTCTCAGAGCCCCAGAATGGATAAGTTCCCACTTAGACTCCGGGACAGGGCCCTGCCTCCCCTCTCAGGCCCCAGGATGAGGCTCTGCCTCCCTCCTCAGACCTCAAGACAGGGCTCCTGCCTCCCCACACTAAGACCCAGGACAGAGCTATGGACTTCCCACTTCTCCACCACACCCCCAGGCCATGACAGCCCTCTCAGACTTCTTAGTTCTGGAGACTTGGTGATTTGGGTCTTCCAGGACACATGTCACCATACAGGATCATACAATTTTATTTTATTTTATTTTATTTTATTTATTTATTT